TTCGATGATGCCTGAACCTTAAACCAGCTCTAATGTATATGCCCTTCCGAATAACAATATGTGTACTGAAATATATAAATATATTTAAATGTATAGTTAAACTGGAGGGAGGGGAGCTAGAGGGGCATGGTTAGGATTAGAGTTACGATGATTGGGCCCTAAGGAACTGTTTTATCATTAAATGAATCCTCCGATATATTTAAACACCGACATGGTATATAAACAGTTGCGGGCGGAGTTTATTATTCAACAACAGTGAATAAAAGCTCCACAAAAACAAGATAAAGAGTGATTTTGCATTATATTTTCTATTTTTCAAACGTGAGTGGCGCTATGAATGTTCGGGGAAGCCATAAATAAAAATAGTAGTGAATTTGACAGCTAGACCATTTACTTTTGCCGGAAAAAATGGGTTTCAAAAGCATTTTGTATTTGCTGGCACTGTAAGCTTTGCATATAAGGTGAAATAAACAGCACTAGCCATAGTGTGTTGTTTATGTTCAAGAATACAATGGAATGAATTACAGGAAAGAAAACACAGATGAGCTTCTTTGCAACGTGGGGGCATGAGGTTGTCAAAACCAGACAGAATATAAAGTGCCTATCTGAAACACAGACTGTGGTTGAAATCAACTTGTCAACGATAAACAGCATTCATAAGCAGTTCCTAGCAATTTTGCCTGTAGTTATGATATATATACTCAATATTTCTTTTATTCAACAACTTTCGTCTACTGCACTCATCAGGAAAAGTCTACACAATGATGTGTGGTCGGTCGGCAATCTCATTCCAATCACGGTTACTACTAACCATGTTCAATGTAGAATCGTTTGGAATGAAATGTTCATGTCATGAAAAACATTCAAAAAATTGTTGACACTTTCCACGTGACTGATATCAAGGGGCGTAGTATTCAGCGTTTTTTTTTTCTTCTAAATAACATAATTCTGATTAAATGAGCGAAAGGGATTCACTGCCACCATGCTAGTTGGTAACATGTTTTATTTCCGGCTCGTAGGGAGGATAATTATTTTTATAGTGATCCACAGTCTTATTTGTCACAAAGCACCACAGCATGACGTTCAAGTACAATTTCGTATGCGAAATGAGTACGGACAGAGTACATTTTGTTGTGAAATTGCTCGGCCAAGTTTTGCCATGACTGCATTTCGAGGCAAATTGATATATACATGTATCCGATTAAAATGCACATTTACACATTCTTGTGTTTGACTAGGCCGACATAGTTTGGAATTCTTTTTAGTTTGTCAAAAAAATGAACAATAACCTGTGGCTGCAAAAGAAATCTTGAGCAGTTTCACAATTCTTAATTATTTTCTCTGCCCGATGTATGTGAACGACCTCAATCCCAATACAAAATTTGTAGCAAAATTAAATTCCACTATAAATGTAAACAATGTCGCCGCTGACGTTCTTCGTTGTTGCGCAGCCTAGCCAAAATAAAAACAAAAAAAACAATGGAACAAAAACGTGAATATGTGATACAAAACTAAACATTTCCCGTATGAAAAAAATATTATGACCCGGTGATTAATCCAAGCCGCTCTTGCCTGTGAGGTCATGGAAGATAATACATGTAGGGCAAATTCGTGAATGAATGTGTTTCGTTTCACCTGGGTCTGAGATGATGCAAGGACAATCAACATAAATATTATTTGAATATACATGTAATCAGACAAGCCAGCAGATTCCAGAAGCCAGATTCCAACAAGCCGCATCATCACTAGACCGATCATCACCATAAATGAATTGTTTATTTCACTTTACACAGCTCAGATCAGTAACTATACACATAAACAAAAGATTATGACTATCTACATTTAATGAATGATTGACAGTTGCTGTCGTTGCATAATCAGTCAAATTAGAATACTAAGCACCGCCCAGCCCATGGGTCGTAAATGTCAGCCTTTAAGGTAACAAGAGGGGAAAGAGGACTAATAGTTTCATTGTAATTAGGACTTTCCCCACCTTTTATAAGGCATGCAGCTAAGGCGATTGTATGTTTTCAGGAAGCTGAAGTGGTGTTCTCACTGGACGAAATAAGTCGTTGTCACAACGCCTTTTATTTGAGAACGTTGTTAAAATGTATGTGTGTACAGAATACGTCGTTGTGGCGTCTGTGTTTTTGACACTGTCGTGAAGGGGTGTACCAGATCCTAAACGCCATTGTCTCACTGGCTTTTGCACAACGCAATGTGTCGTGTGAACACAATACATCGGCCAACCGCCCTCTATCCCCAACTTATTTATGCTTGTCATTACACAAGATGGCGTCAGAGGTTACAGGTCGACTGTCGAACTGGTCAGACAAAGAAACAAGATTACTGATATATGTATGGATGCTTTAGTATATGCTGTGATTGCAGAAAAAGCGACTGAAAAGGGATTGGACAGGACATCATTACAATGTCAACGGAAGATCAAAACTTTGTGTATAAAGTATAGCATGAGTACAGTGAAGTGACTGAGCACAACAACAGAAGCGATAGAGATCCGAAAACTATGCCATTTTTGGATGAACTTTGCGAAATATTAGGTGGAAGGCCAGCATTCAATCCTCAAACACCGGTGTTTTTACTATTAAAGTGAGAACGCGAGCAGACAATTCAGCAGATTATCTAATATTTGCATACAAAAAACAGCAGCGTTTTCAGACATGTGAGAACGTAGCTTGAGATACAGGAGATTATGATCATGTTGATAATTGCTCTCGAGATTAAGTTACAAACATTCCTGTGAACCTACTAATAATTAGTCGTTTCTCGTTGTTCGTTCTTTCTATGAGATATTTTTAGTGTTGCTTTATAAACATAAGTTAATAACATAGTTAAACTCTGGTGACCTTGCCCTTTGTTATATAATATTCCCTTTATCATAGTTTGTTTCCATAGGAATATGCATTTTCATAATTAATTTTGAATACAAAAAAGTTTTGGGGTTGAAACAACAGTGGGGAATCGGTTTACCGAATGTCCTTGATAGATGTAAATATCTTACAAAAACATTGGTGCCTAATTTGTTTAATTATTTTAAGGAACATAATTTCCAGCTTTATTCAAAGTAATTCTGATTTTTTAGTATAAAAACAAATGTCGCATCTCAGAAAAGAAGTACTCCATTTAGGGAAGACTTTATACTGATGAATACGGTGACCAAGTTTGAGGTTTGGACTAGAATTAGTAAAGTTATTGTGCACACAATGACAATTATTAATGACAACAACAACGCCGCTAGAAGAAATGTTTCCCTCAATCACAGTCCCTCTATCCCCGGTCTGGAAACGACTAGCGTTCTTTTGTTTCGAGCCGCGGTGTGGGTAAACAAACCGTTCACACCCGGGCCGAAGGAGTCAGGAAGTCAGACAGATTACAATACCGTCAAAATATTCATTAAAATCGGAAAATTTACCGTCATGCAAAGCGATACCTCATTGTATGACTTCACTTTCACTTTAAATTCGGGCAACCACAACGTAAACAAACATGTAAACAAAATTATCACTATAAAATTTGGGTTTTTTGAACCCTGATACGCATTACAACCAGCCTACCAACTCATAAACATCCAGTCCCTGCAATGCAAAGATTAATATCGGGAATTATGTTCATTTCCTAGTTTTTATAAGGAAAAAACTTTGCGTGCTAACATGCTAACATCGCTAAACAAATCTTGTCAAAATGGTGTCGTTCATGTTAACGTAGTCGATCGAAAAACCTGTGATATTTCTGATTCTTCGGGGGTTAATATTAACAGTTCAAGTCAACTATACAACAACTAATGACTTTATTCTATGCAAAAGTATATAACAATGCTTCAATGTTTGTATATAAATGATTTTTTTTAGTACAGAATTGAGTATATTGTCATTTCAAAACGTCGTCATTTGCATTTACGATATAAAAAGCATCCATAAAAGTCGCTCAATTTAACATTAGGTAATAAAATGCGGTGTGACAAATAACAAATCAGCCCACCAATTTTTAATGATATGTTTCGATCATAAAATGTCAAAATCGAAGACAAATATTGGTTTCGCGCCGAGAAGTATGGTAAATAAAATAGAGTTCATTTCAATAACCCCAAAACCAAAAACGACAAATATCTAGGTAAAGGTATGACAATTTTTTGCGAAAATGTCTCGCTGCAAGTAAAATAGATGAATTAAAGAACTACTCGCCGGCTAAAATATGACCTTATACAGATATCCTGATTAAAAAATTATGTGAAAAAGATTGAATTCTGGAATAAACAACTATACATACATAACACTGACGATGTCAAAAATAGTGGCCGGGATAGAGGGACTGTGCCTCAATATACCTTTCATGACACGCCATTTATACACGGCGGAGTGTGAGTGACTTTAAAACCATGTATAAAGGGAGTGTCATTTTATAACCAGCTTCTAACATGACAACAATTTGCAACAATTTATTCAATATTATTTTTGTTTTGCTTTACAGTCAATCAAGATCAGCTGACAAAGCCATATTCTAACTAACTTCTCTCAATTTATACAGAGAATATAAATTGTGAATCCAGCGATCTGATTGGTGGAGGGCGCATAGCCATGTTAGAAAATAATGATCTTTGAAACTAGGTTTTGGAATTTGTATGTGCCTCATTCATGTACATGTAGTTCTGGAGACAGTCAGTCAAACTTTATGAACTCAATTTTATGAATGTATCCATGATCTTTTGGCCAGAACCCAAAGTCAACAGAACGTCTTCTCACAAAAGTTAAGAATGTTAGTGTGGGGGAAAACAGAGGTGTTAATCCAAAAATTCACTGTCTTTTCCTGTTTGCGATTGGTCATGGCAACGTTTGGGAGATTGTGATGTAGCTCCGACTGTGAGAATGACAGAGGTATCCTGAAAAACAATGAATAACCTTTGTTTTCTTACAAAACTATTATTTGATAGCTTATAATCATCACCATGGAAACCAACATTATTGTTTCACACCCTGGCTTTCAACTATAAAGACAATACTTATTTGGCAGCTTTTTGTTACGTAACCATTTCAATTTCTAAGTGGAATTAATAAATTGTATGGGGCAGAATAACGTAACTGACAGTTTTATCACGCGCATATCTTGCGACTTTGTACAATGTACCACAGCTAAGACACTTACGTCTTTGCTACATTAATTATGTCTTAAGTTCCGTGCCTCCTTGTGTTTACTAAGACTATACATGACAAACATGAATATATACAGGTTCTGCCATAGATATTCAATATAGTGTATACAAAGTCTGAAACTAACAACGTAATATAAACCTGAGAAATATGACAAGAATGTAAATATATACTCACATTTACGATGTTAGATTCGATGAGAAGAACTTCTAATTTCGGAAACTGTGTCACGAAGTCCACGGACCTCAATACATTTTTAGAACAATTCAGTTTTCGTAATTTGGGGAGTGTGAGGTCCACGGGAAATCCCTTCAAATCGTTGTCACTGACGTTTAACTCCTCTAGCTGGGAGAGCGACAATAGAACTTTTAAGTCTTTGGTTTTCAGTTCAAGACCGGAAATATCCAAACACGTTACCTCACTTAGAGTAGGTGCACCACTGATATTCAGTATCTTTTCCATTGACAGAGAGCCATTTCCGTTCATAGATGACATTTTGTTGCGGATCAGAGGGTGAGTAAGCGATGATAAACAGCCTATAAAGTGAATGTTACAACGCGACATATGTACAAGCACGAACACGTGTTGATACTATTACACATGTCTGCACATGTAGTCGGTAGAGTTTTAAGACGAGAAAAAACAACACCGGAATGAGGGGTAATTGTCTTGATTGCCTGCAAATGAAACAAATGCCCGCCAACATCGGTACATTGCTACCCACCACCACCATTCAAGCTGATACCCGGTAATCCGTCTGTCGTACTTGCACTGCAGAAGTCGCTGATCGATTAAACACAACACCAAACACGGAAGTACTATTCACCTTGTCAATCTAACGCATGCGCACCACTTAGTTCAAGGTTAAGGGAAAGTTCGTATGTCCACCAACATGTCAAGACCATTTCTGATAGTTTTTTTAGTTTACACGTCTGTAATTTCTAGTAATTACGCCACCAAACCAATAGAGTCTAGGATATCGAGTGTGATACTCGATGAAAAATCAGAAAAATTAGTTGTGGTTGACCAAGATGTGAAAAATGCTGTTGCAAGAGCGAATTTTACAGACGATATTTCCCAAACAGGGTAAGTGACAGATGAGCAATGCGGGTCCGTGGTTTGGTAGTTTAACTGATTTGATGATCGGTGTTACGATCCACATGTGTTGGTGAAAGTAGTAGCGAGTACATTACAACAGTACCACACGAAACATAAAAATAATGCCGATTTCTCTAAATAAATTACTAGCAAGATAGGTAGGCGGAAGAGGAAGTGATTTGAGATTTATTTATTGAACACAACACTGGAGCGATAAGTATAGTCTGGTCCCTAAAGCTGAATTTCAGAAAACCAAATAAGGGTAACCCCCTCACTGGATAGTGACATAAAATTAAAAATGTAGATAATAATAAAGATTTAATCTGGAAGAGATTTTCTTTTTTCCAATACTGTTTGTATGTAGTGTATTACTCCAAGTACTAGTATACATTGCTTGTTTGTGTTGTTCATAATATATATGAACCTTTGTCTACTGCTGACTGAATCAAATTTCTCCATATGAGAAAACAAGGAGTACAGATGTCGCCGTTCAACTGTATATAGTGGACATTGTGTGATAAAATGAATTTCATCTTCAATTGCTGTACAGTTGGGACATTTTCTGTCATCTATTTTTGTTTTTGGTCTTGTGTGGTTGCCTGTTTCTATGTGTAATTTGTGTCTTTTTCTTCAAAACTGTTTCTTCTCCCCCCATCCCCCTCTGATTAGAGGATATCCTCGCAGTCACTATTGCAGGTGGAAGTTTGCCTGATAGTGCCGGCAATGGCGAGGCGGTGCCCCTAGAGCTTGTTGCTCCTATGGGGCCTGTTGCAGGTCTTTCTGTGGATTCCCCCCTCGCAGGGTGCCGGGTTTGCCTCTGAGATTTGGGTTTTGGTTGAGGGCCTGTCAGGACAGATTGTGTCCCTTGCAGGTCGGGTAGACCAAATGCAGGTGGAGTGGGTTGCCTCCACTGCAGTTGCCCCTCGCTCAGCAAATCGGAAGAAGCACAACAACAAGCAGTATTCACATTCAAGGGATGCCTCCTCCCAGGATCCCTCCTGATCCTAGCCCAGACTTTCCCATCGTCTTTGAAAGCAGCAGCCATCAGAGGTGTCTCGGACATGCCCTTGCTCTGACAGCTCACTTTTTTAAAGTTAAGGGAGATTAGGCGATATCTGATTCAGTGGGTGCAACCTCAGAGTCTGTGAGCAACGCCAAGGCTGTGATGTGGAGAACATCGATCCTATGGTGTTGATGGGTGCACATTGGTCTCCTGTGGAACAGCGCTACCTGATCGATGTGGTGTCTGATACCGGCGCCAGCAGAGTCTGGAGCCAAATCTTATGCCCCGACCGAATCCCTCGGTTCTTTCCCCCAACTCGAGTACCACGAATTTTGGTTCGGTGGGCTGGGCAAAGGGGGATGGTCACATTCATGGAATCTTTTGGCAGTTCAGTCGGAAATAATCCACAATGCCCGGAAAGCAGAGTTGCGACCTGTTTTTGGCTGTTTTCAGCGAACTGAGTCACGGGGTGCGTCACTGCCTCAGTTGCGCAGACGAGACCTCCTCCACCCACTTTGATTATAAGATGGAGGGAGCAGTCTTGGTGCTTCGGGATACCACCGACCAGTTGGTACAGGTGAAACCTGCAAGCCACTCTGGCTGCTGTGGAAAGAACCCCAAGCTGAGAAAACGTAACTACTGTCGGCACCCACTGGCCAGAAGCAGCCAGGAAGCAAGCGTCCCTGCTCTTCCGAGGGAGGGAAGAGTGGCGGCATGCCTCCCAGGAAGAAGGGATCAGGTGGTGTTCCCCCCTCTTCCTCAGGTGGTCGCCCACCCAGCTCGCAGGGGAAGCAAGTTTGACGCTTCTGCCTGTGACCGTGGGGGGGGGGCATACTGTATGTTCGAGCCTCAGGGGGTCTCACCTCCGCGGAGGAGAGATCACCCCTGTTGTAGTACCGCTGAACCCATGGCCACATATCTCTGTCACAGATTGCATTGATGTATTCTGGCTTGGAGTCATCATGTATCCGACCCCTGGACTCTACAGGTGGTGATACACGGTTAAAAGATCCCACTGCGGTCTCCACCTCTCCTGTCAACAGCCACCACGTTGGAAGCGCTGCCAGGAAATACCCCAAAGCGGGAACAATTCGACAGGAGGTAGACAGTTTGCTGACAAGGGCGCTATACACAGGATGCAGGACTTGGCAGTAGGTTTGGGCTTCTACTCACAAGTGATTGTAGTTCCAAATGCTACAAATGGTACGCTTGATTTCGCATGGAAACACCAAGCACTGTTTTACTTTCTGTGCACCATTTTTGACTGGTTAGCCTCGCTAGACTTAATTTCGTCCATTTGGGCCAAGTATTCAAGTACAGGGTACTCCCCTTCACTACACCAGTCGAGCTTCCTAGCAAATCAAGAAAAGTCCCATCAACACCCAACACAGCAGTTGGAGTTCAACATGGAGGCAGGCTTGCTACGGCCATCACAGGCTTGTTGCCTAGCACTAAGGAACCTACATGTAGCCGGACATCTAGTCAGCGTTCCTTCTGAGTCTCTCCAAGAATGATGATGTCAGTTTGCAGGGTAGTTCTCCAAGCTACTTTATGCAGCTGCCCAGTACAACACACTTTGTTGCAACTCTGGGCTCACCTACAGGAACTGCAGAGGCGAGTAACTCTCTTGGACCAATTGAGGGATGCCTTGCCATGGTGGACGGCAATTGCTAACCTCAGGCAGGAGTCCCCCTGGATCCACTTGACATGGCTATGATTCTGATAACAGATGCCTCCCTCACAGGTTGGGGAGCGCACATATTAGATAAACAAACCCGAGGAATATGGCCCCTGCATTTGATTCAGGGCCGCCATATCAATTTACATACTATCAACGTTTTTCTACAAATTTTTTTTGAATTCGTTTTCTTTTGTCCCTGTTTCATAGTCGACTGCAAGATGTTAGTGTTGAAGATCGAGAATTTCAAAGAAATTAAATTCGTAAGCGGAATTCGTTAATGGAATGCGTGTATGATTGAAGTGTACATGTAATACAGTATGCAAGAAACTGTTTTTATTTGCTATGAATGTGACTATTATGCAAATTATCTGTCTATTACTAGTATGGCTTTGGCTGATTAATTAAAACATGGTTTTCAAAACAATGACATGTGCTCTTGTTTTTAATTAACAAAAATGTTTTTTATACCTTATAAAAACATCAAATTTTCGTATCCAGTGTTCGATCTTTGTTGCATTAAAAAATACAAAAAAGTAAAATTTTGGCTTTCAAAGCAAAAAAACATATACAGCATCCTTAACTACTAAGTTATTCATACTTGGTACGTACAATGACAAATTGTAAAGGATTACTACAAAGCTGAAATATGTCGCACCTACAGTGGTTTAATCGCTTTGTAAACGATTGAAGTGAATCAGTAGAAGACAAGTGTAATGACAAGGTCACAATGGGTAATTCAAGACAGTGTCAAAATCACAATATGAAACCTGGTGAAAGACTTGTTAAAAGATATACAAATGCTTATAATATCTCCACTGTCACAGAAAAATATAAAGAAAATCAAGAACATTATTAAACAACAGTATACATTTTGTATTTCCTATAGGAAAGAAAATATGACAAATGAGAAAAACAAAACTAAGAACAAACACTAAATATATTTATTTAATAAAAAGTAGTGACAAAAATACAATTAAGCTATTCACAATTCTTCTATTTATATTTTTTATTTTTTTTTAATTTTATTATTATCGTCATATCAGTTTAATACATTACTTAAATAATAATGTTTTTATACACTGCAGAAGAACACTTTATACGGGTTCAACCGTATCAATTAATGATGCTGTCCATTTCTTACTTGCCTTTTCATAATTTAGTTGTAGTTCATTATTAATGGTTGTTTTGAGCTGGGACATAAAAAAAGCAAAATTCGTTCTTGGGTCTCATTTATTTTGGCACCATCTCTTAAAGAGGGAGTGCATGGCAATAGTTAGAATTTGGTCGATAATTAATATGTTTGTTTTGGTAATAAGTGTTCTCATGTTTAACATTACGTCAGTGCCAAAGTAGATAAAGATAAAACATCTGATTTTGCCCCAAAAATTCTGTACATCAATACAATTATAGAATATATAGAGACGAAACACTTATCACAAAATGGTGTGTTTCGTATTTTTCATTTGTACAGATTATATCCATTTGGCAAGATACAATGAATAAATTTAAATATAAAATTTGACAGTTTTCTGTCATAAGTAGTGTACATACATCTTTTTCCCAAATATGTTTCCAATATTCAGCTGGTATGTCATACTTGTTAGACCACATATATTCAACATAAGGTTTTTCAATTTTCAACATAAGGTTTTTCAATTTGTTCAATTTTGTTATCACAAAATGGTGTGTTTCGTATTTTTCATTTGTACAGATTATATCCATTTGGCAAGATACAATGAATAAATTTAAATATAAAATTTGACAGTTTTCTGTCATAAGTAGTGTACATACATCTTTTTCCTAAATATGTTTCCAATATTCAGCTGGTATGTCATACTTGTTAGACCACATATATTCAACATAAGGTTTTTCAATTTGTTGTTGAGTCAAATTTGTGTACACCAACTTTGAAGTTATATTCAAAAGCACTCCCAAGCAAACTCATCCATGGTTTCAGGGCATTACAAAGAATGTAATAATCATTTACCCAGTTAGTCTTGTTATATAAATGACGTAGAATCTTGTCCAGGTCTATTTCATTAGCAGTTATATCTTTCATATAGTTAATATTAGACTTAATCCAGTTAGAAATGAATTTATTTTCTTGATGATGTTTATAATAACTTTCTCTCTTTTACTATTTATTATACATTCATTTTATATACATATTGCTATTAATTGATGGAAGATTTTATTTCTGAGAATGAAATAAAAATATTATTATTCATTGAACATAATAGGACCATGATGCACATTATTTGTGTTTCAGATTGGATTCAAAACAATCAAATAGCAACCAATTTGTTTTATAATGCTGTTCTAAGATATATCTTTGACATTCCTTGATAATTTCATTTGACCAAGATGGCCAATTGGAGCTAGGCCATTTTAATACTATTCTAGAACTGGATCTCTGCTGTGTATGAGGAAATTTCATTCAAACTTGGTACACGCAAATTGTGGAATCTTGACACACATCATTTTATTTTTCAGTTCAGATTCAAAATGACAGACCATTATATATCCGAAATGACTTGAGTGATTACAGTTAAATTTGACATACATTTGTTTAAACCTAATCTGACTCATTTCACTTTCGTTTACTGTTTTACAAGTCCCACAATTAAAGTTTTCATGACAATTATTTGAAGTCCCATAACTGAGCAGTTATAATGTAATTTAATAGTACATTGATGTTATATCTTGTTAGGTGGTCATATCTAACTGTGTCAACTAATCCTGTTTATGATGACACAATTCAAGCATATGCAGCAGGTCTTGTTGAAGGGCATATCACTTCTACTAGGATATATCAACATTGGATAAACACAGTCTATGGCTTTTGTAAACATCCTTCAGATTACTGTAACAGATTGGAAGATTTTATCAAGACTAACATTGCATGGATGTCAGAAAAAATAGAGAATAATGCTAAAGATCCATATTGGCACCAGGTTGGTTAC